TTCGGAGCTTCTGTTGATCAAAATCAGGTCAACGGAAACGACGTCACATCCAGCACGCAGAAGTTGGGAGGAAATACACTTCACGGGCGCGAGAGTGTTGATGACCTTGTCATAGCCGCGATAACCCGCTTGCTTGACAATATCAAGACCGCGACAGAATCGCCAGCACAATTCTCACTATTCGCTCAAGGTATGGTGCCATGTTGTATTTTAATTAAGATATAAATTAATTTCTATTTATTCTCATCCATCAGCCGTCATGAGCCTGCCAGCCGAGGTACTCGCAGAAGTGGAAACAGAGATCAGCGCCATCTTTCCAACCCTCCGTGTGTTATATTTTTCTCCTGACCACAGGTAGCTCAACTCACTGCTGGTGACCAAAACTTTTTCCGTGAGAAAAAAGGGCTTGGAAACAGGTCATACCTCTTCCAATGCATTTTTCCAGACGAAAAATAAAAAATATTTTGTAGGGTAAAAGTTGAGACACATGTTTTCTTTTTTGCTTCCTTTTTTCTGCTAGAATCTGAATAGTATTTCATTGAGAAAAAGTAAAAGAAACAGGTTATCAGCAGTGACTCACGGATTGGCAGAATCCATGATCAACTCGGCTCTTGAGACCATCGAATCTTCTCAACAAGGATACAGCACTTGTGCAGCAGGGGATATCGCGTGCAGGACCGTACATATTTCTATTTCCACTGTTCGGTCAACCCATAAGTTTGGTTACTTTCTAGAAAATTGTGGAAGACATAGCACAAGTTGCCACCCAGTACATCATGTTTTCCGAGTGCTTCATCTTCTACCTTGATGTTCACTTATTATTAATCTCTTTTCAGGCTTACAGCAAGTTTACTGAGAGAGGTCCCTACATCGGACTGGAGGCTTGTATCAGTTTTGCTCCAATTTCCAACAATGTATGGCTTACTTAGATTTCGTCACATTCACTCAACTGACGAGTTATTACCCCAGAATTCAGACGGTAGTCCAAGGCCTTCTCAAACTCTTTCAATAGTTAACGTTTTAAGTACAATATAATCAGTATTTTGAACATTTTTACAAGCTGAATTGCTCATTCATCAAGAGGGGCATCGTTTCCTAGCACTGACGCTGGAGTCTTGGTAAATCGTACCTTTTATCCTAGCCTACTTGAAAGACAGTCAGCTTTGTGCTGAACGGTCTTGTAAGCTCTTGTAAGTAGTCACCGCGCGACGCGCGTCGTCATAGTTCAAGTCAAGATGATCACATATTGATGTGATAGTCGAACTCGAAGTAGATGGTAGCCGGGGATTCTTGATGCTTATATAATCCAATTTCCACCCCAAATCGCCACGTTCAACCGAGTTGTCTTCGAGACCACCATCTGGCGATGTCCCTGGGAAGGATTTGAATCTTGCAAACCGCCTATATACGCATATTCACTTCGGTTCTGCCAGCTATCGAGCTTACTGTTGAGTTGGGTCGGATGCAAATCAATAGCCGCTTATTTCAGTGCGTTAATTGCTTTCAAGGAGTTGGCACGCGTCCTCATTCATCATGTCTAGTTTCTAGTCGTACCTTCCCACTATATATTTTTGAGACTTTAGAGTAACCAATCCCTAGGACTTGCTTTGGGTGCGTTCTTAGTCGTGTCGTGCGACCAAAATGACTGACTGCTTGCACTATTCAGATTGGTCTATAGAACATATAATACTTGCTAGCCATGGCAGGATTCACTCCTGTTGTAACCGAAACGTCATCCAACACACAAAAGTTTAAAGGAAAAGCCTTTATCGCTGGGCCCAAATGGACGCATCTTCCAATTGTCACCATTGGGCTACTTGGTGTCCAGATATTCTGGTCCGTAGAGATGGGCTACGCGTCACCCTACCTCCTCTCCCTTGGCCTTTCCAAGTCTGCCATGTCAATGGTGTTTCTTGCAGGACCGCTTTCGGGGCTTTTCATGCAACCTATAATCGGCATACTTGCCGACTCAAGCACCTCTCGTTTTGGACGACGGCGACCATTCATGATGATCGGGACAATTATCTGTATCCTATCCATGCTGCTGTTAGGGTACACCCGCAATGTTGCCACCATGTTCACAACACGAAATTCGCCCAGTAACAACACATTGACTATAATACTCGCCGTCCTCGCCATATATCTCATTGACTTCTCGATAAATGCCGTAACGGCTATGGACCGCGCTCTGGTAGTTGACACTTTGCCTCCTGCGGCTCAGGCCTCCGGAAATGCTTGGGCGGCTCGCATGCTTGGTATTGGCTCAGTCGTCGGTTTCTTCGTTGGTACAATTCCGCTACCCTCAATGTTCCCATTCCTAGGAACAACGGAACTCGAGGTTCTGAGCGTAATAGTATCCGTGCTTCTTCTCGCTGGTCATACTGTAATGGCTATCTTCGTCAAGGAGCGTATACTGCTGAAAGATCATACCGCTAACGCGACGGAGAAACGACCGAACGCTGTCATTCGTGAAGTGAGAGAACTATGGTCCAACCTCCTTACTTTACCGCCAGTTATCCGTCAAATAGTACGTTTTAATCTAATGTGCTCTCTAATCTCGTCTGACTTGGTCCTGCAGTGTGTCATACAATTCTTGTACGACTTATAACTCATTCCTTCTTCTGAAATAACTAAACTCAATTGCAGCGCATGGATAGCCTGGTTCCCGATTCTCTTTTACACCACGATCTACATCGGTGATTTATACCGACGCTCCACGCCAATATCAGCGAGTACGACTATAGACGAACGTAACGCCGAAGCCACGCGCCTGGGAACCCGGGCCCTCTTCTATTCCTCTGTCCTTTCCCTGTTTCTTAACATCATCCTCCCCGCTTTCGTCGCTACATCTACAAAGCGCGCCCGTACACAACAGCAGCGTACGAGCTCTTCGAGTGGGAAAGGGATTTGGTCGTGGTTCCAGATTCCTGAGAGGATGAAGGTCAAGCTTGCGACCTTGTGGGCCATGAGTCATCTCGTGTTGGCTGGATGTATGTTGTCTACACTGTATGTTTCGCTGCTCCTCTCCTTTCCTCCTATGCTAAACGAGAATCTTGACATCCAGTTTCACCGATTCCGTCTTCGGGGCAACAATTCTTATGAGTATTACTGGCTTTTCCTGGGCGATAACGCAGTGGGCCCCCTTTTCTCTCGTATGTTCTCCGCCTTCGCATTCCCTCCTATAATCTCACATTCTTTCAGCTCGCAGAAGCCATCCTTACAACTCCAGATTCTACCTCCAACGCACGTAACTCAATTCTCCTCACTGATGCCCGCACACCTGTAGTAGAAGACCCGGAGGCGGCCGCAGAAACGGCCGTGTTTCTTCCGCATTCAGGAAAACATGGTGCCGATAGCTCTGACGACGAGTCTGACTTTGGTGACGATGAACTCTTGGGCGCTACGGCGGTGCCGGATATGAACGGGAGCTCAAGTATGCTTGACAACCCCCGCGCTCGTGTGAGCAGACTCCATCTCAATCACGCTGATGAGGATGTCGACTTGGAGGATGTTGCATCGGAGTCGGATCCCAACAGCCTTCAGAATGGTCATGGAGGTGGAGGCTTGAGTGCCAAAGCCGGGATTATCCTTGTGGGTTATCTCTCTTCTGCCATCCGTGCTTCTGACCATGTCACCCAAGGGAATTCATAACGTCTTTATTGTTGTGCCTCAGTTCCTCGTCACCGGCCTATCAGCGGTCATATTTGCCATCTTCGACCCGATCCAGCCCCAAGGCCATATAGCTCCACCCCCATCGCAGCCTATACCCACATCTTCAACGGGCTCAGCATCTAATTCTACTGAGGCTGTTGTTAGTCTACTGGTCAGGGAGATCGCAGAATCTCTGACGAGAGAAGAGATGGACAAGAGAGGCGGGCAATCAAATTCGGTCGTGTATATCTTCCGGTTCGTATCAATTTATAGCAGTCTTTTGGCATCTAACCTGCCTTCCTTGGTTGTACAGGTTAGGTGGTGTCTCCGCTTTAATTGCGTTCATTCTTTGCTGGCGACTTGCTCGAGAGCTACGGCATCGATAACGACGTGTCATAAAGATGTGATTCGTTAGGACATATGCTAAGAACGGCCTTCTAGACCCATACCCTTTTGCGGGGCGCTCTAACGGAACTAAACCTTCTTCAGCTTGACCTACTTCGTTATCGTATATATTTCCTTACTTTCCTTCTTTGCAATGTATATTATTCAACTGCATTCTGCATGCCCTACTTTATTCATTAGACTTGGACTACCGTCTATAAAACCCGCCCAAATAATTCATAAATCAGGAAAATCATGATGAGTTTGGCTGAAAGAAGCCTAAGAACTGCCAATTGAATCCGTCTGCTCTCAACAACTTGAAAAGCAAGTTATTCACTGGCAGGGCCTTGGTTAACGACAACATCCATTCCATTGGTATATTGCTCCACATAAAAGAAAATTTCTTTGGTTTTGTACTGACCTTCGACCCTAGGGTCTGCTCGTTGGCGCAGAAGAACAGTCGACTTCCTAATTCTATTGGTGCCAAAGTAGAGGTCCAGGAATCGCAAGGAAGATAATGTGGTATTCTTTTCGGAAAATACATTGAATAAACGGACCAGAGGCGGGAGGGCGTAGGGTTCAACGAGATAATCAAAAAGCAATTCAGACCCTGGTAAAGCATCCTCTCCAGAAGTATATCAAGCCACAAAGGACACTTTTTTGAGCATTAAAAGGCCGAAAATGCAGAGTCATTACAAAGACACAAGCGGAACAATCCAAACACACTGGCCATTGACTTGTTCTAGATTTAACACCCCTCAAGCCTCCTGGAGAGCAGGTAGAAGCATGGCCATGTCTCAAGCTCTCAAGCTCAAGTCCCGACAATGGATCGAACACCGGACTCTGCGATATTTTATCAACTGCAATCGCATGCTCTACCGCAGAGTGTACCGAAACAATAACATTGCCGCCTTAGATTAGTAATAACAAGAAGTCATGCTCAAGTTAGACAAAGATATCAAAGGAGGATACATACAAATCTGATCACCTAGGCACCAACCATCTCTACCCTATCACTCTGGTCGTCTTCCCTTTTCTCCTTCTCCCTCGCCAATCTTCCCTTTCCCCTCGCGCGCTCGACTTCCGCCCACATGACCTTCGCCTCATGAAGGACAGCTCCGACTTCACCATACGCCTCTTCAAACCGTCTAACCTCCGCCTCGAAAGCATCCCGGCCCGCCGTATCAAGTACGCTTCGTATGCCGGCTAGGAAAGCATCCGCGACAGCGAGATTGTGTGCCACCAACAGTGCATGTGCCGACATTTCGTGTGTGTGAAGGAGGTGATGTAGATACGCTCGAGTTGAGGGCGGGTTATACTCCTTCTCGCCAGTCTGGCCCTGACTGTAAGCGTTCGCAGCTTCGGTGGGGTCTGACCCGTGTACGATGCGCTGTGACGGCTGGACAGGCGAACATGCGATACAAGAGCATACCCTACCTTCCCCAGACTCAGACGCACCACGGAACGAGTCCGCTAGTCGGACAAGGTCGAGGCGGTATCGTACGTCGTATAAATTATGTCCAAGCTCTTTCTTTTCTTTGTTACCGCCATCATCGCTGGGCACAGGGAACACAAAGTCAAACGCGACACCATGTGAGGCAGATTCGATGGCCCATCTTGCCTCAAGAACGTCAATACCCACGTCGCGCACGAGGCGGAGTACATCATGCGGACCAATCGTCCCGTGCACAAGACGTGGTTTAGTAGGCGGGAGTGTAGATAGGGAAGTGCGTATAAGAGAAGATATTTCCTCCGCGACAGAGGATTCATCATGGCTCGCGGTGACAGCTATTCGCAGAGGCTTGAGATCTACAGTATACCCTGCGACACCAGCATCGAGATTTGATAGGCCGCCAGCAGCAACTGTCTCAAGGGCGTTAAGAGGTTCGGTGAGTGATGCAGCGAACGCAGCACGAGCAGGGTGAGATGCAGAACCTGCCAAGTGGACTAGCACCGCCGGAGAAGAGTTTTCTGGGGATTGTGAAGTGGTGGAAGACTTGGCAGACGCCACAGAACCTAGTAACGAGGTCAGCCATGCTGTAGACCTCTCTAAACTCTTCGTAAGCCTTTTTTGTGAAAATGGTGGGGTGGTATGCGGTATATCGGAGAGCGCAATGGCGAGATCAGGTGAACAAGCATTAACATAGTTTGACCAGTCTGTCGGGGCAACCTACAAGATTGATTGAACGGAGAGAAAAAATAATAAACACAGACGCACCTTGCGAACCCCTCGTAAACTACAAGCTGAGATGTGTTTGTTCCCATTCGGTGGCATTTCACGTACATCGTCGGGATCACGCAAACTCAGAGAAACGATATGTTGTTCTGGATCGAACCCCAGAAATCGGTGTAAAGGGTTTGGACCATTCTGAAGAGTTGGAACTGGTGGTGTCTGTTCGACGCTACAACAGATTAAGCTTTTCCAGAGTAGAAGTCGAATTTTTTCACCCACTATGTCTCGAATGGAACGTGAATCCAACTAATAGCCGCACTGCCTTTGACATGGTCGCGTGAAAGATGTGGTACTACCCCGCGCGATGTTCCTGTGAGCATTGCAGGTGTTTGTAAGGTTATGCAATGGCCATTAGGACGTTCAAGGACGAGAGTGCCTCTTCGTGGGCCGAAGTTTGACGTAGCGACCTCATCGAGAGAAAATCGCAGGCCTGGGCGGGCCATCCGTGTCAGGTGAATCTGTCGTGCATGTGTGAGAGAGAAGTCAACGGTCGTTGGAAATGCTTTACAGTGCGGAAGACGGTGGAAGTCAGTTTGGAGGAAAAAACAAACGGACATTGACGTTTTTGGCTGAGAGAGTGTACAAATTTGGTGATTTGTGATTGATCCACAAAAACAGTCCCGACGGTGGTTCGAACACCGGACCATACGATAACTTGCAGGCTGCAATCGTATGCTCTACCACTGAGCTATCGAGACATGCTCCATGGACCATAAAGTCATCTCATGACTCGTCTAATCCTCGCACACCCACCTGTAACTGCACGCACCTTACAATCTCCCATGTTCAACACACATTTCCCACACGCTTACTGCATATAGACGCCCTTTTACGCCTCAGCATCTATCTCGCTTCAATGAGCTTAAAAGTATCGCTGAAAGCTTCAGACCTTAACCCAGACTTCAAATTGGTTCACGTCATGCATCTGTGCAGCATCCTTGGACCATTATGTCCCTCGCTCTTCGATCACATCGATCATCCTGGTTCTTGGCCTACGTTTGCTCAGCTTGGTGTTCGACTGGAACGCACGAAGCTTTGTGCTGTTTTCGGACAAGCTATCGTTTCTGCGGCTCCGATATTCTATCGACTACCTTTGCTGCATGTCCTTGGGGACACCCCTGAGACTGAAATTTCCGTCTGGAATACTTGTATAATGGCCGAATAGGTCTGAGACTGTTGTCACTATCCGAAACGTATTATACATGCTCAAGGAACAAGAAGCATTGGCCACATAAAGAAAGGACTTGCTGCATGCATACTTTTCAGGCCATGCGATCATTACAGAAGGTACGGAAGTCTATAAACTTCAGGCCTTGGCCCTCAAATTGTTGACTGGAAATGTGTTTCGACGCTGGCAAGACTCGTGATTTCACGCTCAATAATGTGACGCTCGACCCAGCTATTACTCATCATTCAGGCAAGATTTAGATAAAAGGCACACCCTTTCACATTGACCCTTCCTGATTCTAACAAATGGAGCCTAACCTCGTTGTCTACAAACCCTTCGGTGTCCTAACTGAGAATGATATGTTTGACGATGTCAAAACGTGTAAGTAATTGTGTTATGTAGAAAGTCGTTGTTAAGAGGCTTACCCCGTTTTCTGTAGACAGTCTCTGGCCAGTTAATACGTCTCTCCCGAAGCTCATTCAACTTGCCATTTTTACCGATGATGCACCTGGTGCGAACGGGATCAATGGAATCGAAACCGCCTACGAGGTCAACCTTGGCGGGAAACCCGTGTTCACAAAGCATGGTGAACTGTCTGGAAAGCGGCATGTTATCGACGCTGGTAGGTCCAAAATGCTTGATGTTGGTTTCGGAGGCTCTATGAGTTATCTTCGTCTCTCACAGGAGAGTGTAATATCGTCAAGATCACTGCTACAGTGGTCAAGGACCCCGCTAAGCCTGTCCTCAGGGCTTTAGCTTTCGAGCTTGCTGATGGTTCTAAGCTTGGTTCGTGATTCATGGTTACCATGGGTTTCAATTGACGAATTGTCCAAGGCCCTTTCCCGGGTGTATCGCTTCCCCCTGACCATTTGATGGAAGTATCGGCGCCTGGTCTAACTGTTGGATTCTATGGATCCATCAATGAGAAAGGTATGGGCAGTTTTAGTTCCAAAAGATTCCATGCTGAACTTGAACGTCAATAGATTCACGCATTTGCAGCCTTGGAGTTTACGCGAGGGAACTGATTCGCAATTAGTCGTCGAGTTGCAGCGTGGTCCTCGGCAGAGAGGCGCGAATATGTATTCAATTCGAGTTCATTCCCAATCCGAACTGGTCATTTCTTCAGTCTTAATATGTTCTTGTGTTTGGACTGAGAATAAAGTAAAAGGTACTACTGCGACCTTGTCCGACTTTGTAGCAGATGGTTGTCAAAGCACCGCTGCCATTCTTCGCGATAGCTGTACTGTGAGATGAATTGACATGAACGAAGGAAAGAACTCAAACAAAAATGAATCAAGAGGCAGAAAAACACATATCCTAGCTGATGCCTGCAGGGAGACTGACTGGCTGAACGAGTCTTCTTCAACGATCACAACAGGTTCGAAATAACTTCACTGAAAATTATATTATCCGTGATTTTCTCTGTTAGTTGATAGCATTATACACCAATAATGATATACACAGAATAATCATCACAGTTTCGCCTTGCGCTCGCTCTCTTCACGCTGCTTCCTAGCACGTATGGCGCGGCCCGCGCGGCTGACGCTCTCCCGACCTAACTTCTCACTGGCCCACCATCCAATCTCCACCATCTCGTCAAGACTGATGGATCCATTGTTAGATCCGGCTACCTTATATTGAGAGTCCTTTAGCGCGTAAAGGACGTCCTCAGTCGCAACGTTGCCTGTTGCACCCGGGGAGTATGGGCAACCTCCCAGACCGCCGACTGAAGAGTCAATCGTCCTGATGCCCTGGGCCAAAGCAGCGAAAACATTGGCAACAGCAGTGCCATACGTGTCATGGAACTATAAGAGTATTTAGTGAGATAGCACTGAAACTGGAAGAGAGTTAATCTCACATGACCCTATATCAAGTGGTCAGATTTTGGCAAAGGAAGGCTGAAGTGTATTGTACTCACTGCGAGTTTCTCGGCGGGAACACTCTTCTTCACTTCCTCGATCATCTCTGCTACGTTTGTCGGTGTCCCCTGACCAACCGTATCGCCAAGGCTGACTTCGTAACATCCCATATCTGCCAACGCCTTCGCAACTTCTCTTACACGACCAAAGTCCGTAGGGCCAGAGTAGGGGCAGGCAATAGCAACGCTAACGTACCCACGAACGCGTAAACCGCGATCCAAGGCAGCGCGCGCGACCGGCTCTAGCCGTTGCAAAGACTCCGCCGTGGTCATGTTCAGATTCGCGCGCGTGAATGCGTCAGTGGCGGCGGTGAATATTGAAACCTCGTCCGACACTGGGGGATCGAACTTCGTTTCGTCAAGCAATGCAAAAAGGTTGTCTAGACCTTTTTGGTTTGGGACAAGAACAGCATAATGAACGTCCTTCAATCGCTCCATCCTGGATATAACTTCTGAAGTTCCGGCCATCTTAGACGCGCTTATTGTCAGTACTTTGGGCAATTAAACTATAGAAAGCTCACCTGCGGCACCCATTTCGGGCTGACGAAGCTTCCGGTCTCGATATTCATAACACCGGC